GTGGCGCCCAGGCTGGCCTGGAACTGGATATGGTCCTCCTGCCTCAGCCTCCTCAATGCTGGGGTGGGCAATGACACCCAACTGGAATGTCCTCGAGAAAGTAACAGGAGGGGTCGGGAAGATAGCTTAGTGGCAGAAGCGCCTGCCTGGCAAGTTAAGGTCCCTAGTTCTATCCCTCGTACCACATACACAAAAAACAATATATATATATATATATATATATATATAGAGAGAGAGAGAGAGAGAGAGAGAGAGAGAGAGAGAGAAAGGCATTGCTTGGGGCTGTAGACATGGCTGTATATTATAGGCAGCTAAGTTACACTGAAATTAATATATAGTCAGTGAGGTATTGTGCTCTTGGAAGCCAGCAAAATGGAGGGACATCAGAATTGTGGTTAGACGCACATCTGAAGTCTAGGCCTCAAAGCAAAGATGCAATGGCCAGGCGTGCATGCCTTCCTAAGGGATAAATAATAACTCTGAGATTATACTGAACTCAGCACCACCTGGTCGCTAAGTCCAGCAAGGCACCAGGGCCCGGTGGGGGAGCGGAGCATCGGACCATCTCTTGCTGGAAATGCCTTATTCTTCCCATGCACCCTTGCTCGTCCCATTCCCTACTGCTCTGTATCAGCTGAGCAGCCAGATGTACCTGTAATTCTACAAAGAGGTGGTGGTGTGAGGCATGTGCAAAGCTCTGGGTTCAATCCAGCCCTCCCCAAGTCACCCTCAAAGCAATAACTAAATACTTCTTTATAGCTGGCAGATTGTCAGGACAAAGGTTTCTCTATACAACCAGAGCTTTGTGAAATCAAATGTGTAGGGAGCCACATGGTGTTTAAAATCAAACTCCGGAAGACACAGATCCAACCCCCACTTGCAGATCTAGGGCTTATCTTTCGCAGATGAGAAAAACAGAGCAGTCACCTTTCCCCTTGGTGTCTGGGGAGGGATTCCGGCAAGAGGTGGTTAGTTGTGAAGCTATTTTTGGAGACGATCTGCCTTTATCTAAATGCCTTGCGCAGGTCAAACAACCAAGCTAAGACCAGGCGTCAAGAGTAACCACTGAGCAGGCTTAAGCCTCCTGAAGGCCTCCTGCAGTCAGCACTCAGCGTGGTCGTATCCAGACTTCAGCAGCCATCCCTAGACGCACGCGCTGACCCCTTCCTGCAGGTGGGCAGAGCGGAAGTCAGCACCAGCCTGCACTAGCAGCTGACCAGCCTTTGTGCTAGAAAGCCTCCAAACTTGAAGACAACTTTTGCTAAGACAACTTATCTTGGCTTAGGAATCTCGATTCTTCCATGTGTTTTGGGTGTACATGAAGAATGCAGCCCTCTCACCAACAGCATGGGGCATAAAGACCACTCAGTGGCCTGCTGGGGGAACACAAGCTTGTTTTATTATTTATTTATTTATTTGAGGAACCGGGGATTGAACTCAGGCCCTGCGCCTGCCAAGCAAGCGCTTATTCTGCTGAGCTCTCTCCCTGGCCCCAGCTTGTTTTATTTTACATTGTGAATTGTCCAAGCAGGGTCTTCCTTTGCCATAGGCAGGACATCTTTGCTATGAACCCTACATTTCTTTCTTTCTTTTTTTCCTTTTTTTGTGGAACCAGGGATTGAACTCAGGCCCTTGTGCTTGACAGGCAAGCGCTTATTCTACTGAGCTATCTCCCTGCTCCCCCCGCCTTTTTTTTTTTTGCTGAACCCTACATTTCTAACTTGTTCCTTGCTGGCCACGCACAGGAAATGTCTGTAGGTTGGCGATGTCTTCTTCCCTTCTCTTTCTGTACTCCTGCTCCCAAAGCGTGTACTTACCACGCAGCAGTTTTTATTTGCCTTCCCTCTTAGCTCCTTTAAACACTAGTGGCCACAGTTTTTGTAGACTTAAAACAGTTCCACTTTTAATCAGTTGGCTTAGAAGCAGCATATATAACCTCTGTCACATATCCTTCAAAACCTCACTTTCTTCTAAACTTCTAGCATGACTTTTTTTTTTTTTTTTTTTTTTTTTTTTTGAGACAGGGTCTCCCTATTGTGGTTCAGGCTGGCTTTGAGTTCACTTTGTAGCCAAGGATGATTTCAAACTCAGTGTTCCTCTTGCCTCAGCCTCCTGAGTGCTGGGATTGTAGGCATGTGTCACCACGCCCAGCTTGTTTGGTTTTGAGGCAAGGTCTTGCTATGTAGTCCAGGTTGGTCTTGAGTTATGTAGCTCAGGCTAGTCTTGAACTAGTGACCATCCTCCTGCCTCATCCTCTTAAATGCTGATATTATAGGCAGCTAAGTTAGATAGAAATAAGCATAGCACATGGAGAGGGACTGGGTTTTCAAGGAAGTCGGCAGAAAAAACAAAGACATCAGAATTGTGGTTGGAAGCACATCTGAAGAAGTCCAGGCTTCAAAATAAAGATGCAGTGGGATATGGTGGTGTACCCCTATAATCCCAGTACTCAGGAGTCTGAGGCAGAAGAATCGCTGTGAGTTCGAGATCAGCCTGGGCTACAAAGTAAAGCTCAAGGCCAGCCTGAAAGGCACAGTGAGAACCTTAAAAAAAGCTAATGATGCAATGGCTAGGCTTGCAGGCCTCCCTAAGGGATAAACAATAATTCTGAGCTTATTCTGTAATCAGCACCACCTGGTCTAGTAAGTTTAGAGAGCCATCAGTGGCCCAGGTGGGTGTACAGAGCAGCTGGACTCGTCCCTTCCCAGAATGCCTTGTTGCCATACTCCCTACTGGATTCTATAGGATTACTCCCTTGTAATCCAATAGGTTGAAGGCAGTGTGATCCACTTGTACCCACATTGTGACAAAGGGCATTGTGGGCACTCCATTTGGGACTCTTTCTGGAAATCCAGCAGCTATTCTCTCCTTATTCCCAATGAAATTTTGCTAACATCTTCCTCTGGTGTGTGACTTTATTTCTTGAGGTAATGGGACCAGGGACCTGGGACATCTGGCATCTAGTAGGTTGGGAGCTGTACTTCTGTGTCACTGGGATTACAGACATGTGCCACAATACCATTCTTGTCATTGTACAACACAGCTGTGAATTAGGTTTTTTTCATCTGAACTAATATTTTTTTGAATAGAGCAGTATGAGAACTGGGGCTAGAAAAACAGCACTAGAAACCCAAGGGCTAGAAACTTCTTTCAATCTCTTTCTTCTCTTGAAGGGTCTTGCTATTTAGTCCACATTGGCTTACAGACATTGTGTAGCCCTGGCTGGCTCCAAATTCACAGTGGTCCTCCTGCCATTGTTCCAGGTCTCAGGGAACAAAACAGACACAAGTCAAGTCTTCCCCTCCATGAGCTGTAAGTCTAGTTGGAGGAGACAGAACCCAATGAATATTTTACATCGAACCTTAGTAAGTGATCCTGGCTTGAGGAAACACAAAGCCCTGAGCGCTGGGTATGCAGTCTGCGAGTCTAGAGCAGGGTGCCTTGGAGCACAGCTGGAAGCGTGGGCTGTGTGGATGGCAGGGGCAGAGCCGGGAAGCCCACTGCTGCAGCGGGATCCCTCGCAGCGACCGAGGACCGCAGCCCGGGAGAGCGCAGCAAAGGGGCCCAGGCAGGGCCGGGCGCCGCTGCAGACCGACAGGGCTCCTAGGGCCTCTGCTGTTCTGCGATGTGAAGGCAGGGCTGGGCAGTTTCAAAGAGGGGAGTCGCGGGCCTGATTTGACAAGATCCCGGACTCCCAGCGTGAACAAGAAGCCAGGTAGAAGGGCCCTGCGTCCACCCCAGAAATTAACATCACAAACGTTTGATGTCTGTACGAACAAGGTGCTCCCAGAGCACAGAAGGTGGCAGGCTGTCCGCCAGTGTTTAACTCGCAAGGAAAACAGGCCAACAGGGCAGCTACTCCGCTTGGCCTTTCAGGTGGAAGGGAACGTATCCCATGCCACCTGCGAACCTAGCAGGATTTGCTCAGTGTCATGCAGAATCAGCTTTTCTGCATAGAAGGGCATGAAAATACCTTTCATGGAAACCCAACCTTGGGAGCCGGGGCAGTAGCTCAGTAGAATAAGTGCTTGCCTGGTAAGCACAGGGTCCTGAGTTCAATCCCCGGTACCGGAAAAACAAAACAAAAAAAACTATATCCTGACCAAGCCCAAGGGCCTGAGTTCAACCCCAGTTCCGGAAAACAAGAGAAAAAGAAACCCAACCTTACGTAAGTGAAACTAATTAAACATACCTAAAACCTTTATGGGCCTGCTTCACGTGCTGACCTCCTCTTGTTGCCAGACAAATTGCATAAGGAGTTCAAGAACAGCCTGAGCTGCACAGTGAGACTGTCTTAGGAAAAAAAATACCTGCATCTGGCCTTTCGCGTCCTATACCTATGGGACGGAGCCCTGGGCACCTATATAGCGCTTTTGGCAAAACCACGTGGGTTTCCTACGACGAGAAAATTCGGGAGGCTGCCCCTTCGAGTTTGCGGGAGACCCAGACAGCGCCGCGCGGCGTGGAAGCCGGCAGATGGCGCCGCGGGACCGCGAGCCGCGGAGGCAACAGGCGGGAGGCTCGGGGACTCGGGGCCGGGCACCGGCCGGCTACCCCGCTGCGCACCGCCAGTCGGGAAGAGATGGTTTCCTCCTAGGCCTGTGTGCACAGTCGGCCGTTCCTACCCGGCTTCTCCGGGGTGCGTCCCGCAAGCGCAGAGCTGCCTCAAGCCGCGCCAGGCTGGGATCTACCATCCAGCCCTTCGGGAGCGCCGGGCCTGCGGATCGCTCCTTCCCATTGGTCGCGGTACACACAGCCCCGCCCCCGCCCAGACAGCGCTCATTCGTGACTGGCTCGCGGGCCCCGGCTGGCCACGCCTCTCCCCTCGCACATACACAAGAGTCACGCGCCTTTCAGCTGGAAACTTGGCGTGCTGAGCGGGCCGCTGGTCCTCTGCTCTCCTCCCATTCGCCTCGCTATTGGCCTGCGCTGCCCGCACGACCACGCCCCCGCGCCAGCCTCTTGGCTGGGAAGGCGGGCGCCCGTTCGTGATTGGCTTACCGGCCTGCCTGTCGCGGGAGCGGTGGGCACTCTTCTCCACTCGTCCTCCCCCGCCAGCCTCTAGGTTCCTTCGCCCGCCCGGGCCCAGTCGGCGTCAGTCAGGGAGGCGGACGCTCCGTCGCCGTCTCGCCCCGGGGCCGGTGTTCGCGCCGCCGGGGGGAAGGATGCAGCCGCTGCCGGAGCAGCCGCCCCGTGATTGGCTGTGGAGCCTGTGAACCCGGAGTAAAGATGGCGGGCGGGCAGGCCGCCGCCGCTCTGCCCACTCGGAAGATGGCGGCGCGCCGCGGCCTCATCACCCGCGGCCGGGGGCTCCTGCGCGTGGCGGCTGGCCGGCTGCTGCCGATGCTCCTGCTGGGCTGCTGCTGCGGTGCGGGCAGCTGCGTGGCGGCCGGCGAGAGCGAGGAGACGGTGATCATCGGGCTGCGGCTGGAGGACACGAACGACGTGTCGTTCATGGAGGGGGGGGCGCTGCGGGTGAGCGAGCGGACGAAGGTCAAGCTGCGGGTGTACGGCCAGAACATCAACAACGAGACGTGGTCCCGCATCGCCTTCACCGAGCAGGAGCGCAGCCGCCACGGGCCGGGCGCAGGCGAGCGCACGCTGGGGGGCCCCGCGCCTCCCGAGCCGGACGGCGGCCCGCAGCGCTGCGGCATCCGCACCTCGGACATCATCATCCAGCCGCGCATCGAGCTTAACCGCCGCACCTCTGGCATCATCGAGATCGAGATCAAGCCGCTGCGCAAGATGGAGAAAAGCAAGTCCTACTACCTGTGCACGTCGCTGTCCACGCCCGCGCTGGGCGCCAGCGGCGCTGGGGCCGCGGGGGCAGCGGGCTCGGCCAAGAGCGGCGCGGGGGTGGCCGGGCTGCAGCCGCCACCGTGGGCCGAGACCACCTGGATCTACCACGATGGCGAGGACACCAAGATGATCGTGGGAGAGGAGAAGAAGTTCCTGCTGCCCTTCTGGTTGCAGGTGATCTTCATTTCGCTGCTGCTGTGCCTGTCGGGCATGTTCAGCGGCCTCAACCTGGGGCTCATGGCCCTGGACCCGATGGAGCTGCGCATCGTGCAGAACTGCGGCACCGAGAAGGAGAAGAACTATGCCAAGCGCATCGAGCCCGTGCGCAGGCAGGGAAACTACCTGCTGTGCTCACTGCTGCTGGGCAACGTGCTAGTCAACACCACGCTCACCATCCTGCTGGACGACATCGCCGGCTCGGGCCTCGTGGCGGTGGTGGTCTCCACCATCGGCATCGTCATCTTTGGGGAGATCGTCCCTCAGGCCATCTGTTCCCGCCACGGCCTGGCCGTGGGGGCCAACACCATCTTCCTCACCAAGTTCTTCATGATGATGACCTTCCCCGCGTCTTACCCGGTCAGCAAGCTGCTGGACTGCGTTCTGGGCCAGGAGATAGGCACTGTCTACAACCGGGAGAAGCTGCTGGAGATGCTCCGGGTCACCGATCCCTACAACGATCTCGTGAAGGAGGAGCTGAACATAATCCAAGGGGCGCTGGAGCTCCGCACCAAGACGGTGGAGGATGTGATGACTCCGCTCCGGGACTGCTTCATGATCACCGGCGAGGCCATCCTGGACTTCAACACCATGTCGGAAATCATGGAGAGCGGCTACACGCGCATTCCGGTGTTTGAGGGGGAGCGCTCCAACATCGTGGACTTGCTCTTTGTCAAGGACTTGGCCTTTGTGGACCCGGATGACTGCACTCCCTTAAAAACCATCACCAAGTTTTATAACCACCCCTTGCACTTCGTTTTCAATGACACCAAGTTGGACGCAATGCTGGAAGAATTTAAGAAAGGTGGGGAATTTTGGTATCTTTCCTTGGTTGCTCTTTCTCTCTGCATCCTCCTCCCTCCTTGAGTGCTCTGGCCCTCACACCAACCCCCAAGGCAAGTTGGCCAGATTTTCTCCACTCTCTTAATTGCAAAGTCGAAAGGGTGGCGTGGATTTGGAGATGGGTAGTAAACACTTTTAGTTTGTTTTAAAGTACGAAACTGCTATCACTTCCTTATTCCCGTGATCCAAAAGCAGGTTTTGTAATTTCTGTGCGTGATGAGCCCCCTTCCCCGAGGAGGGCCTCTGGTCTTGGGGATTCTGCTGTACTTTTGTCTGGGTTGTGAGTGGGTAGGTGACAGTAAGGGTTGGCTAAGGCCACGTCCTCTGGGTGACATGTACTAATCACAGGCACTTGGCAAACAGCTAAATAGTTCTTCTAAACCCAATGCAATCCTTTTCTTCCTCCCTAAACATCCACACTGATGTTTCAAAAATCGGAATTTCATGTTTTAAAGCTTGTTTCTGGTTGTCTGGTGACCTTTGAGGATTGAGTCCTGCCTTTGAGGGTGGAGGATGGGTGGTGAGCCGAGGACCACTGAAACGATTCACTTATTTTGGATTTAACTTGTTTCAGCTAGCAAAGAGGGCTTTGAAAACCAAAGCTAGTTAGTAATATAACAGTTGAACAGCTTAGAGGTAAGTCAACTTTTTTGAGGCTGTGTGTCTCTAGTTTTCTTCGCTTTGTTTTTATTTGCTGGGCAACAAATAAAATTTCTAAAGTAAATGTCGTTTTAGCAACAAGCTTATGCCACAAAAAGCAAGGAGATGGATTCCTTAATGATGGCTTCTTTATTTCCTGATTCATTGTAGCTTAAAAGTGTTGTTTTTTATCCTTGATCACATGATACAGTTAGATTGAAGTGTGCCCTCCAGTCCATCCTCTCTGTTCCAGGGTTTAATTAACAGTGAGGAAAAAGAAGCGCAGAGCCTGATGTATGGCGAAGCACATCACGGCTTGTGTTTTGATATCATTTGCTTTACTACCTCCTGAATAGGTGGGTAGCAGTTTGCATCACTGTCACCAGAGTTCCCTCAGTTTCTAGTAAATAGATCCTGCTATTTGAAGGCCAAAGCGTGTGGGGTTTAGCACCAGGATGCAAGTGTGCGTGATGGAATGTGTGTGACCCACCTTGACCTGATCATCCTTAAAATTAAACTTTTCACTTAGAATTTTGATGACTGGAAAAGGTCACCTGCCTGGTAACAGCTTCCTGGATGTGGTCAGCAAACACACAGAACGTGTGCTTGTCCTCCGCTGTGTTCCGGGCCGAGCGGGCGTTCCCTCTAGAATGGGACCTCAGTGCAGGCGTTTTCAGATTAAAAAATAGAGCAGCATGTGCTCCAGAGCTTGTCTATTTGCATTTAAAAGTAGGAGATGCTTCGGGGCGTCTAAAGAGTGAGACAGTGTCCAGTATCTCTAGTGACAGCTTCTTTTAGGAGGGTCGGTATTTTATTTTTCTGTTGCTAATTAGAGTATCTAAACAATTGTAATACAGGAAGATGCCCTGAAATGCTTAAAAATATCTCTGAAATTCTCTCTATTGCTAAGTTTTCCAGTTTTAATTAACAGATAATTTTTTATGAGTTCTCTTTAAATTCAAGATTTTCTCCATCAATTTATAGATTGTTGTTTGTACTCCTTGCTGGAATCTTTTTTTTGCAGTGTGTGTGTTTGAGACAGGGTTCAGTGTAGTTCAGGAAGTCACTTTGTAGCCCAGGCTGGGCTCAAAACTACCGGCGAGCCTCCTGCCTCTGCCTCCTGAGTGCTGGACTTAGAGGTGTGTGCCACCATGCCTGACTTCCATGTTGGAATCTTTGCTTCACCTTTATATCTTTTTTTGAAAATTTAATTTCATCTCCCAGCTCAGTAATTCTGCTCCTACTCATTTTTTTTTTTTTTTTTT